TTCCCAGAGTTCCAAAGGGCAGATTCAACCTGGGAAGGGAAGGGATGCAAATATGGGGGAGGGGGATAGCCAGGAAACAAAAGTGCAGCTCTTGGGGCAGGGTCCTGGTTCTACCTCAAGGGACACACATAACAAAGTCTTTAAGGTCTTTTAAGAGGTCAGCACTCTTCATAGCAGAGAAACACCACAGAAGGCTATATTAAAAGAACCAGATTAGTTCATCAAGAAGATTCAGTTCAGTTCAGTCGCTCAGTCGTGTCTGACTCTGTGCAACTCCATGAACTGTACCATGCCAGGCCTCCTTGTCCATCACGAACTCCTGGAGTTTACTCAAACTTATGTCCATTGAGTCGGTGATGCCATCCAACCATCTCATCCTCTGTCATCCCCTTCTCCTCCCACTTTCAATCTTTCCCAGTATCAGGGTCTTTTCAAATGAGTCAGTTCTTCGTATCAGGTGGCCAAAGTATTGGAGTTTCAGCTTGAACATCAGTCCTTCCAATGAACATTCAGGACTGATTTCCTTCAGGATGGACTGGTTGGATCTCCTTGCAGTCCAAGGGACTCTCAAGAGTTTTCTCCAACACCACAGGTCAAAAGCATCAATTCTTTGGCGCTCAGCTTTCTTTATAGTCCAACTCTCACATCCATATATGACTGCTGTAAAAACCATAGTCTTGACTAGACGGACCTTTGTTGGCAAAGTAATGTCTCTGCTTTTTAATATGCTGTCTAGGGTGGTCATAACTTTTCTTCCAAGAGTGAGCGTCTTTTAATTTCATGGCTGCAGTCACCATCTGCAGTGATTAGAGCCCCCCAAAATAAAGTCTGACACTGTTTCCACTGTTTCCCCATCTGTTTGCCATGAAGTGATGGGACCAGGTGCCATGATCTTTGTTTGTAATCAAGAAGATTACTTGAGACTAAGTTAGAGGAGTGGAAGCCCTGGGCACACTCTGATCTCTCAGCAACCCCACCCACCCCTGAACCACTGTGTTATAAAACTTCTCCCACACTGAGACACACAGTTGGGGCAGGAGCTCTCTGTGTTCGCTTTGGCTGGCAAAGCAATAAAGCTATTCTTTTCTATCTCACTCAAAATTCTGTCTCTGAGATTTGATTTGGCACCCGTGCACAGAGGCTGAGCTCTCAGTATCAACTGACTCAACCAAAAATTGGCTTTTCAGATAAAAACATTTTTTTTTTAAAAACAGAAAATTCAGGTCATACACCCATATCTAATCAGAATGAGACAGTAATCTGCCTGACCATTCATCAGACTGGGAAGACAGACACAAATCCAAATGCAAAGTTGAGAAGAAACAATGTTTCTCCCAAGGATATGCTGCATAGGTAAAGTATCACATGATGATCCCCTCTCTGAATTACCCATGCTTTCCTATTGAGAAATATCAGTCTCTAATATCAAAGACAGTCAGAAGCTTTGCTTTATTAAATCATATTTATTAAAATGAACCATTCCACTCTCACCTGGAAGGTTTAAGTTACTGATAGAGAGAAGTAGCTTTAATTTCCAATGTAGATACAGACCTTCAACTAAAGGAGTTTCTGAATACAACATTTCAAGTTTCCAAAGAAACAGGTTTCTGAATCTATTTTTATAGTATAGATCTTTTCATACACATCCCTACTTTGCTTTAAGTTTTCACTTAAATTTTACTTAATTTCCACTTTCCCCCCAAACTCTGTAATTCTTCTTTTCCTATTTAATGAGATGTTCCATGGTTCCTCTGGTGTGTGTTCTCCCTCACTGCAAGGAGTGAATAAATCTGACTTCGCTGGACTATACTCTAGTGGTCTTAGATTAGGCCAAGATCAGAAAACTGAGCACCGAAGAATTGATGCTTTTGAACTGTGGTATTGGAGAAGACTCTTGAGAGTCCTTTGGCCTGCAAGGTGATCAAACCAGTCAATCCTAAAGGAAATCAGTCCTGAATATTCATTAGAAGGACTGATGCTGAAGCTGAAACTCCAATACTTTGGCCACCTGATGCGAAGAACTGACTCATTGGAAAAGACCCTGATGCTAGGAAAGATTGAAGACAGGAGGAGAAGGGGACGACAGAGGATGAGATGGTTAGATGGCATCATCGACTTGATGGACATTAGTTTGAGCAATCTCCAGGAGCTGGTGATGGACAGGGAAGCCTGGCATGCTGCAGTCCATGGGGTCACAAAGAGTTCAACGACTGAACTGAACTGATAACCATTATTTATGTTCACTAAAAACACACAGTAAGGATGATTACAGTAATTATAATAGCCCCAAACTAGAAACAAATAAAAATGTCAGCAAAATGAAGAATGAATAAATTATGCTATAATCATACAATGAAATACGACATTACAATGAAAAAATAAACTATTACTGGCACACATGACATGAATGACTTTCACAGACATAATATTGAGCAAAAGAAATCAGGCAAAAGATGTATATATTAGTTGATTCTAAATATCTGAAGATCAAGACCACAAAAACCAACCTATAGTGATGAGATAAGAACAGTGATTAGCCAGGGCAGTGGGAAGGCAGGGGGATACAGGGAAATGGGAGGGTGTTGATTGTGAAGGAGCATGAGGAATCCTTCAGAGATTCTGATAATGTTGATCTGGTTGGTGGTTTCATGAGTGTATACAAATTTAAAAATTCATTGTGCAGTACACTTAAGCATTTTACTGTATGTAAGTTACTAGCTTAATTTAAAAAACTGAAACAAAAAACTAAGAACAAGAACTAACAAGGTATGTATAAAATCTATTAAACAAAAACAAAACTATGAAACACCCCTGATGGACATAAAAGAAGACTTGGGAGAATTTAAAGATAGACCAATAAAATGACCTTCAACTCTACCATCTTCTGTTTGGTACTTGCAGCACACAGGGCAAATTCCACGAAGGAATCAGTACTCTGGACACTTATAAAAGAACTAAGCTTTGAGCTCTCTGAGGAAGCTTATTTTGATTAAGATGACAGAATATCATAAAGATGTCAATTCTCCCAAAGTTAGTGTACAAATTTATAAGATCTCAGTAAAAACGCTGAGAGGTGTTTTTTTTTTTTAACTCAGTAGACTGATTCTTATGTTTTATGTGGGGAAAATACAATGGCCAGATATACTAAAAAGGAATTGCAACAGTGTGTGTGTGTGTGTGTGTTTTATGTGGGGAAAATACAATGGCCAGATATACTAAAAAGGAATTGCAGCAGTGTGTGTGTGTGTGTGTGTGTGTGTGTTTTATGTGGGGAAAATACAATGGCCAGATATACTAAAAAGGAATTGCAACAATGTGTGTGTGTGTGTGTGTGTGTTTTATGTGGGGAAAATACAATGGCCAGATATACTAAAAAGGAATTGCAACAATGTGTGTGTGTGTGTGTGTGTGTGTGTGTGTGTGTGTGTGTGTGGAGGGGGTGAGGGAAAATAGGAGGAGGATTATTTCTAACACATTTTAACAGGTATTATAAAGACATAATAACCAGAAGTATGTGACTGGCATAGGACTAAGTATATTAGTGCAAGAGAACAGAATTTCCAGAAAAAGCCCTAAAATGTATGTGGCAACTTAGTATATAATAAAGATGGCATATCAAATCTATTAATGAAAACAGTTTTTAATAAACAATATCAAGACAAATGAGTAGATATTTAGAATGAAACTGAAGTTGAATTCATATTTCATACCTTCTAGCAAATAATACCTTATAACAAAGATATAAGTATTGATAAAAAATGAAACAAAAAAACAAACTAAAGGAAAATTCTTTTATAACCTTAAAATCAGGAAGGCCTTACTAAATACGACGCCGAAAACAAAAGCTATAAGGAAAGATACATTTACACTACATTAATTGAATACTATACAGTTGTATAAAATAAAGAAAATAGCTTTATAATAGCTTTATTTTAAAATATAAAAATAAACAGCTGCTTTTCTGTCTGGTATTTGAAACTCAGAGAGTTTGCTGGGGATAGTATAAGAAGATAGCATAAAAAGTATCAGCAATCTGGGACTAAGAAAGACAGAAAATCTTGAATTATGAGTTTAACTATGAAAATGTGTGACTGAAATAACAGATATGGGAAGGATATTCTAACTCTCCATTGACCTAGATTTCCAAAGCTGCGTATAGAAAGCTAGAAATGTTTGGTTTCAAGAAAACAAAATACACATCTGCAATCATTCTAACTACCTTCCTCCATTATGGTTTATATTTTTTATTTACAGCTTATTTTAATGTAAAATACCTTTAAATCTCTTTTGAAACAATTATGCACTTAAGTCAGTATACTCATCCTAAAAATTCTTTGTGAATCTGTTCTTCCAAATTAATGTGGCTAAAATGACAAATATTGCTAATATAACATTTTTATGTCAATAATTAATTTATTGAATAAAAATAAATTTCTCCTTTTAAATATGCATTTTAGAAAATATCCACCTTGGTGCTAATCTGACTTAAAAAACCGAGACCAACCCAAATATCCAACAATAGGGACTACAATACATCAACTCAATACAGGAGGATAAAACCATTAAACATAACAGTTACAAAGCCTAGGCTAATATATGGGAAATACTTCTAATTATGTTAGGCAAAATTTTATGCATAGTATAAACTCAGCCATGTAAAACTACATGTGAAAAAATTTGAAGGAAATTCAGCAAAATATTATCTGTGTGCTGGTGTCGAGTGATGATTATTGACAATGTTAATTTTCTACTTTCTTCTTTTTGCAAATTTTCTGCAATTAACATGTATTATGTTTATAATTAGAAAGTAAACACTATTTAATTGTGAACCAGGGGAATTTCACTACAACCAGAAAAGCAACCTTTATTTCAGAGGTATCCTGTTTTTGTGTGAATATAGCAGCAGATAGCCTGAGATTTTATTACTACAAAAAATCCCACAAGAACACCCAGCTCAACCCTCCAAAACCACCAATTGAAAATGTATACCAAACACATACAATTGATTTCTGAAGCTGTCCGTTCAGCTCTGGCATTCCTGTTTGTAGATCTAATGGTATGACGAATGACTGCATGGGGCTGTGAATATAAACATAATATATACACTTAAAAGAATTTCTGTGACAAAGTTAGAAGGTCAAACTTTCTCTCTTTAATTAAATTCTTACTTATTAACAGACATGACTACTAATAAAGTGAACTGAAGGATAAGTTTTTTAAAAAATGAATATGAGATACTTAAAAGTTAATTCATTTATTCCACACACAGTTAATAAATAAATGTGAACTGAAGGATAAGTTTTTTAAAAAATGAATATGAGATACTTAAAAGTTAATTCATTTATTCCACACACATTTATACTGTATAAAATACTGAAGAGATGCAAGGAAAATCAGATGCAAATCTTATCCTCAAAAGAGCTTACAGTCTAAGAAGATAACATACACAAATACTTAAACACTAGAAAAGAATAAGTGGCATTCATTAAAATCACTATTAATGCCCAGGGGAAGGAGAGATGACTGCCATTGGAAGGAGTAAAGAAATTCTTCATGACAGTTGAAATCTGATGTGAGGCCTTGAAGGACAAGTAAGCACTGAATGAGCAGCAAGGTGGGAAAAGCATTTCAGACAGCACAAACAATATGAACAAAATGATGCAAGGAAAAAAAGGAAATTGTGGAGTGTTTAGGGGAATTGAAGCTGGTTATTATTTGAATGTGGTGAACATTAAGTGAACAGATGACAAGCTGGAAAGACATTTGAAGGAGGATAAGCTAGATCATGAAAGGTTCTGAATGTCAGGCTAGAGCTCTCAATTTTATTTTCTTGGCAAAAGAATTTTTTGGAGATTTTACAGAAAGGGAATGCCATCACAAGAGTCAGCTTTAAGAGTAACCTGATTAAATATGTAAAAGGGTATGGAGAGGAGAAATGCCATGCGGAGAGGGATAGATTTGTAGTAAACCAAGTGAGAAAGCTTACTACTTCCACCCTTTTGAATAAGCTCCTGATCTTTGGAAACAATGCGTTCAGTTCAACCCCTATCTATTAAATTTCTGATGACTCACTCTCATTCACTAATGATTCAGACAATGGTCATGTGTCTTTTTCCCTACTTTAAGACCCACTATCACACCAAAGGACTCAAAAGCCCATTGCGCTGGATTAAAGTTTACTGACCTTATCTCTCAAGATATTCTACCACACTTCAAAGCACTCTATACTATTAAGATCATATCCTGGAATCTGTCATCACATCATATGACATATGACACAGGAATTCACTTCATACTCCAAACTTCTCATCCTCTGAGCTTACTATCTCATTTCTCCAATAATTTTTAAATGTTCACACCGAATCTCAAGTCCATCAATCCATTACTTTCTCATTCTCCTTATGCATTTCTTCTATCTTCACTTTTCTTCCTATCCACTTTAGATCTGGTGGTCCATAATTTCAAGCAATCTCTTGCATATATCCTAAATTTGATTCTCACTCCCTGCCATCCTCTTCTACACTGGCATACCAAAACGACAACCCTGCAGGAATTAAACTAACTTGTTTATATCTGGGGTACCAATGACTGCTGGAGGAAAATTACACATTGAAAATTAATTTTCTAAGGCTTCAGTGTTGCCCCCAAACATTTCTCTCGTCACTTAACCCATCCAATCTCCTCAATGGGCTTCCCTGGTGGCTCAGTTGGTAAAGAATCCATCTGCAATGTGGGAGACCTGGGTTCGGTCCTGGGGTGGGAAGATCCCCTGGAGAAGAGAAATTAGTATTTCTTTTCTTTTTTGTTAAGCTGAAATATTGATTAATGCACAATACTATGTTAGCTTCTAATGTACTACAGAATTTGACATTTGTATACATTAAGAAGTAATCACCATTAAAAAGTGTAGTAACCATCTGTTCCCAAACAAAACTAATGTTATTGACCATATTCCTATGCTATGTAAAATAACCCTAATATACATATTTATTATATAACTGGAGATTTGAATATCTTAATCCCCTTCACCTATTTTGTCCACACTCACAAGGTTGCCTTCTGGCAAACATCTATTTCTTCTCTGTATCTGAGTCCGTTTTCACTTTATTTTGTTTTCCTTCTTAGATTGCACATATAAGCGAGATCATGTGGTATCTGTCTTTCTCTGACTTATTCATTAGCATAATAGCTTCTAGAGCCATCCATGGTGTCAAAAATGGGAAGATTTTATTTTTAACGGGCGAGTAATGTTCCAGGGCTTCCCTGGTGGCTCAGTGGTAAAGAATCCACCTGCAAATGCAGGAGATGTGGATTTGGTCTCTGGGTTGGGACGATCCCCTGGAAAAGCAAAGTGAAAGCTTCTGAGTGTGTCCAACTCTTCACAGATTCTATACAGTCCATGGAATTCTCCAGGCCCGAATACTTAGGTGGGCAGCCATTGCCCTCTCCAGGGGATCTTCCCAACCCAGGGATCAAACCCGGGTCCCCCACAGTGCATGTGGATTCTTTACCATCTGAGCCACCAGGGACGCCCTGGAGAAGGAAACGGCAACCCAATCTAGTGTTCTTGCCTGGGAAATTCTACGGGCAGGAGAGCCTGATGGGGTACAGTCCACGGGGCTGCACAGAGTTGGCTACAACTCAGTGACTAAACAGCAACAACAAAGTCAGATTCCACTGAATATATATATATATATGTATATGTGTATGTATATGTATATATATGTATCCTTTTTATCCATTAGTCCATCAGTGGACACTGAGGTTGCTTCCATATGCTGGCTCTTCCTCCTTCTTTCTTCTGGGGTCCCTAGAATGTGAATGTTAGTATACTTGATATTGTCTCAAAGGTCTCTTAAACCACCCTCATTAAAAAAAAAAAAACTCTCTTCTCTTTTTCCTCTTCAGCTTAGGTGATTTCCACTATTCAGTCTTCTAGTTTACTGATCTGTTCCATATAACCAAATCTACTATTATTTCTTTCTAGTGTAGTTTTAATTTTAGTTATTGTTTTCTGCAGCTCTATTTGGTTCCCCCTTATATTTTCTAATTCTTTGTTAACATTCTTACTATGTTCTTCCATCTCTCTCTTGTGTTCATTGAATATCTTTATGATCATTACCTAAAACTCTTTAACAGGCAGATTGTGTATCTTTTCTTTGCTTAATTCTTCTTCTGAGGTTGTCTTGTTCCTTTGTTTGGAACATAGTCCTCTGTTTCTATTTTCCTAGTTCTCTGTGTTTATTTCTAAGTATTAAGTAGATTGGCTATGTTTCTTGAATTTGGGAGGAGTGGCATTATGTAAGAGATATCTTATGGAACCCAGCAGCACATCCCTCTGGACAGCAACACTATATACTCTAAGCATGCCCCGTATATGGCCTGTCTGGGCCCTTCTATTGTGGCAAGACTGACCACTGGGTGTGCTGGTAGGTAGGAAGGCCTGGACCCTGGCCCAGTCAGCTGCTGTGACCTTCCTGGTGCAGGGTCCCAAGGCTTGTGCTACTCTACTGAGGGCAGGGCCAGGTTCAAGGGTGGTCAGCTATGGAGCCAGGGAAGCTGGGGGTTGGCAGCAGTCTGCCAGTGGGTGGGTAAGCCTCCAGCATAGTAGGGTAGAGGGGGGACTCCGCAACGATGCCTGTCAGCATCAGAGTCCTAATGGCAGGAAAACTCCTACACTCAGCTGTCGCCAGCATCTATATCTTGAGGGGGACTACTAGGTGTCTCCTGCCTCTCCAAGAGGTTCTCCAAGATCTGCAGGTGGTTTCCTTTCAAATTACTGACTCTGTGCATATGAGATTTCACACAGGCCCTGTAAGAGCAGACTCTGTTTCCTAGAGGCCTTTAGTTCTCCTGTACACAAGTCCTTTGAAGGATGACCTTCAAAGCCAGATTTTTTGGGGGGCCATCTTCCCTGTGAAGGACACCCCAGCTGGGGAGCCCAATATAGGTTTTGGATGCTTCACTCCTTGGGGAGAATTCTGTAAGTGTAATTATCCTCCTGTTTGTGGGCTGCCTATCCAGGGAGGTGGGTCTTGACTATGTCTCTGCCTCTCCTACCCATCTCACTGTGGTTCGTTTTTCGTATCTTCAGTTGTAGAAAATCTTTTATGCTAGTTTTCAGGTCATCCTCATAGATACTTGCAATTTGGTGTGCCCAAGGAGGAGGGGAGCTCAAGGATGGGAGGAGGGGAGCTCAACGTCTTCCTACTCTACTCTCTAGACAACACTTCCCAAGGAAGCCTTTCAAGAAGTGCTTTTTCAACATTAAGTCCTTCATTATAATCTAGATCTCACTTTCTCTTTCCTTTTCAGTGACTTTGCCTATTCATCTTCCTTCTCTAGATTCTTCTATCTCTAACCATTGGATCCTTTTCATAAACATCCTGTTTAAACTTTTTTTGCCCCCCACAAAAAACAATCAATCAATAGCCAAAAAACAGAGAGATAAAAGACAGGTAGGAGAAATATCAATAACCTCAGATATGCAGATGATACCACCCTTATGGCAGAAAGTAAGGAAGAACTAAAGAGACTCTTGAAAATGAAAGAGAAGAGTGAAAAGTTGGCTTAAAGCTCAACATTCAGAAAACTAAGGTCTTGGCATCCAGTCCCATCACTTCATGGCAGATAGATGGGGAAACAGTGGAAACAGTGACAGATTTTATTTTTTGGGGCTCCAAAATCACTGCAGATGGTGACTGTAGCCATGAAATTAAAAGACGCTCACTCCTTGGAAGGAAAGTTATGACCAACCTAGACAGCATATTAAAAAGCAGAGACATTACTTGGCCAACAAAGATCCATCGAGTCAAGGCTATGGTTTTTCCAGTAGTCATGTATGGATGTGAGAGTTGGACTATAAAGAGAGCTGAGCACTGAAGAATTGATGCTTTTGAACTGTGGCATTGGAGAAGAATACCTGCCTCCAATACCTGGTATTGGTGAAGAGTCCCTTGGACTGCAAGGAGATCCAACCAGTCCATCCTAAAGGAAATCAGCCCTGAATATTCACTTGGAAGGACTGAGGTTGAAGCTGAAACTCCAATACTTTGGCCACCTGATGCGAAGACCTGACTCATCTGAAAAGACCCTGATGCTGGGAAAGATTGAGGGCAGGAGAAGGAGACAATAGAGGATGAGATGGTTGGATGGCATCACCGACTCAATGGACATAAGTTTGAGTAAACTCTGGGAGCTGGTGATGGACAGGGAGGCCTGGCGTGCTGCAGGCCATGGGGTTGCAAAGAGTCTGACATGACTGAGCGACTGAACTGAAGTGAGAAGACAGACAAATCCACCATCAATTCATTTTCCTTCATCTGCTGCTCTACCTTACTCCCCTCTTTTACAACTAAATTTCATAAATAAATTTACCTTTCAAACCACTCCAATCTGGCTTCACCTCTAGTATTTTTAAATTATCTTTTTAAAGTAGTCAAACACACCTAAATCCAAAGGTTTCTTTAATGTAACTTCTAGGTGGTATTCTTTCTGAAACTTTCCTTCTATCTCTTAATCTTCTTTATTATTCCTTTGCCATTTCTCTTAGGATACTAGATTTTTTTAATTTAAGGGAGAAATCTCAAGAAGTTGTCTTAGGCCTTCTTCCCACTTGGAAATCTGATGCAATATAAAAATTACCATATATAAAACTGAACTCACCTTTCTTCCCAAATTTGATCTTACTCTAGTATTTCAATCTCAACAAGTGGCACTTTTATATCTATTCAGCTGTTCAAGTAAAAATCTGGGAGTAATCCTTTTATCAGGCTCCACCCTCAAGTCTACATGTGGTCACCACTCTCTCACATAATTCTTGAATTACTTCACTTTTTTCCATCCTCGCCCTACCATCCTACTATAAAACATCAGTATCTCTATCCTGGATAACTTCAAAAGTATCTTAAGAGGACGTGAGGAATGAAATCATCATTCTAAAGTCAGAGATCTTAAAAAAAAAAACACACACACACATATCTGATTATATCACTTCCTTATCCTTTAAAGGCTTCCACTGCTCTTAGATTAAAGCTCTCATTTTTTTTTTACTTGAAATATCTAGTATGTAATCTCATCTCCCACCAAATTCCTTCCTTTTTTTCTGCTCTAACAGACTAACTTTTCTTTAGTTCCTAAAGCATACCATGTTCTCTTATCACTGGGCTTTCAAACATGCTATTATTCCTTCTGCTCAGAATACTTCTGATCAGTCTCTTAATTACTATCTCTGTATTTAATCCTTCAGGTTTTCAGCTTACATACTGCTTCCACAGTGAGTCTTTTTCTGTCTCAAAAATATGCCTGCATAGCACCCTGTATTTCCCATTCCATAACAGCTATTACCCTTGTAAACTGTTTGCTGGTAATTTCTAAATTTCCATGGAGACCATTCTATAAGCTCTTTGAAGACAGGGATTATGTCAATGTCATTCACTGCTGTCTCTTCAATTGCCCAGAACAAGGTTTTGCATTTTAAGGACTAAAAAGCATGGTAATATCATTAAACAGAAATATACAATTCCAAAGTAAGAGTAGATTTAGGAAACTTGGCGAAATATTGTAGGGAATGAAAGTGGAGTTTGGTTATTTTCATAACCAGTAAAACATTAATTGGGGAATCAAGTAACATGCTATATTTAAGCAAAAACAATTTTAACAATTTTGATTTTTAAGAGATTAAATTCATTAACTATTACAAGTCTGCGAATGATGGCTTAAATTTAAATATATCTTTATGACTGGGTTATTTAATATTTTCAATTAAAGTTCATTTAACATTCAATAAAATATTTACAAGGTACCTTACTACATGACAAGATTATGTTATATACTAGAAAATGACTAGTTGGCAAAGACTGTTTAATGACTATTTCTATTAAGTACACATATAAAAGTGATAGTATATATATATATATTTTTCATATATAAAAGTGATGGTATATTAACTAAGAGTAGGTTCTAAAGTTGGTTTGCCCAAATCCAAATCCTGGTTCCACTACTTGCTAGGCATATGATCTTGGGGAAATGAAATTACTTGTATTCTTTCTTCTTTTCTTATTTGTAAAATGGGGATAGTAATAGTACCTACTGCAAAGGACTGTCCTGAGTATTAGATGAGTTAACATGGAAATTATTCAGCCTAATACTTGGTACACAAAGACTACTCAATGACTGTTAGTAGTTATCATGATACTTAATAATTTAAAACTTAAGTTCATGAAGTAGAAAATTTCCTTCAGTAAGTAACAACACAAAGTTTAGTTCTATAGTCTTACCAGAATTGAAGATAGAGGTATAAAGGGAAATAAAGACGTAAGAAAGAATGAAGAGACAGAAATAAAATAGAATATAAAAGGAGAAAAAGATACTGGTAAATAAATATATTTGTATTATGTATAGAGAGGCATAAACCTGACAATGGGCAGGAAGTCCCTCATTCCTGATTTAGAAGTTGTGTTGTTAAATATAATATATTCAAATACTTCTACAATATTTTCATAGAAGAAAGCATAGTTATGGATAGCTCTATATGTAATTATATAAGAAATAATAGTTTTGAATACTTATTGGAAAACATCTTATATGGGAACTTCAGCTTAATTGAAAAAAATTATTTGTATCCTGTTAATTACATTGCCAACAAAGGTCCATCTAGTCAAAGCTATGGTTTTTCCAGTGGTCATGTATGGATGTGACAGTTGGACTGTGAAGAAAGCTGAGCACCGAAGAATTGACGCTTTTGAACTGTGGTGTTGGAGAAGACTCTTGGGAGTCCCTTGGACTGCAAGGAGATCCAACCAGTCCATCCTAAAGGAGATCAGTCCTGGATGTTCACTGAAGGACTGATGCTGAAGCTAAAACTCCAGTACTTTGGCCACCTCATGCGAAGAGTTGACTCATTGGAAAAGACCCTGATGCTGGAAGGGATTGGGGGCAGGAGGAGAAGGGGACGAAAGAGGATGAGATGGCTGGATGGCATCAACGACTCGATGGACATGAGTTTGAGTAAACTCTGGGAGTTGGTGATGGGCAGGGAGGCTTGGTGTGCTGCGGTTTACGGGGTTGCAAAGAGTCGGACACGACTGAGCGACTGAACTGAACTGAACTGAACTGAACTGAACTGAATGATCTGTACTGGAGAAGGAAATGGCAACCCACTCCAGTATTCTTGCCTAAAAAATCCCATGGATAGAGAAACCTGGTGGGCTACAGTCCATGGGGTTGCAAGAGTCAGAAATGACTGAGTGACTAAACTACCACCAATCATCTGTAAACAGAGAAACTAAAAAAATGACCACATGGATTTCTAAGGAGACTCTCTGATGAAAAATAATATGGTACAAGTGCTCTGGCTAAATTTTCATTCTCTTAGTCCAAAGCAATACTCCTAAAACCTGTATTTCCATGGAAATAGATGTCCTTTTTCTTTAGAGAAGATCAAACTCTCACTACAGAAGCTGAGGTCTAAAGAGAAGAGAAAACACTTGTGCATTTCTGGGAAGAAAAAGGCACAGATCTGATTCTAATTGTGGTTACTGCTTAATAACTTTAAGCAAACTAACTAAGTAAATAAAATGATATGGTGCAAGGAAGAATCATAATCTTAGTTCCTTCCCAGAAGTAGGATTAAGAGAAGTTATCAATAAGAGAAGTTATCAATTGGTAATTATATGCAGGACAAGTATAGTCTTCATTGCTAATTAATCTCTGTCACTAAATCTATTTTAACTAACTTAAAAGAGTTAATTAAAAAACAAACTCTAAGGCCACATTAAACATTTATTTTCAATTATTAGATTGCAAACATTCTTTACCTCAAAGTCATCATCGTCTCCTTCAGTGTAATGAGCATGGTTGTCTGGATTATTCACTTTGTCCAACAGTTCAACTGCCAGGGCCCTAGAGAGACCTGGCTGCCCTACAAATGTATGCTAAATAAAAACAAAACAAAACTTCATGAGTATGCATTTATATCTATGGCTTATAGAGACTGTTATTTGTTCTTTTCCATTTAGTAACTATCAGAGATAAGCATATGGGAGCCTATCAGTGCTAATAAAGAATGTATTAATAAAAATATTGAGAGAATCCATAATTAAATATTATAAAGCTAAAGAACCATTGTGAGGTAAGTTTATAATATGAATAATTTCTCTATGTAAAGTTAACTAATCTATACTAGGCTGTCAAATTACAACCTTGGCTATAACAATGACATTTATTACACATGTCATTATGCACATGCAAATAAATACTGTGGTACAGTCCATATCACAGTAAGAAAAAAACATGTATATTCTGTGCTTACATATATTTAATTCAATAAAATTATGTTAGTATAGAAAGACATAATTAAATTTTATAACATTTAAACAAAGTTTTCTTAGACTGTTACAATCAACTTTTTCTAATATAAAAGTATTTTATAAACACATACACGGGAGCATTCTATAAATTTACATAAGAAACCAAAACAGAGAAAAGCAATTAATTTTAGATGAAAGCAACATTTTAAAGAGTTTTCTCCAAGGCAGGGGTGAGCAAACTACAGACCATGGGCAAAATCTGGTGCACTGCCTCCTTCTGTGAATGAAGTTTTACTGGGTATTAAAGCCACATTCTTCATGTGTTGGCTATGGCTGCTTTTGTGCTACCGTGGCAAAACTGAGAAGACGCAACAGACTGTGTGTCTCACAAAGCCTATAATACATACCATCTGGCTCTTACATAATATTTGCTGTAATAGATCACTAAGACTTTTATATTAAAAACCTGAATGCTGTTGTTCTAGTGATATGCCTAACTATCGCATGACTATAGAAAATACTGCTATAAATTCAATGACTTACAGTCAGAAGTCTTTCAGCGGTTGGTCTTTTTTTGGGGTTTTTGGTTAGTGCTATTTTGACAAAATTATGGAATGTTGATGACCTTCAAATAAAAACAGACATGTACAAATATATTTCATTAATATTAGTTCTTTTGTGTTACTAAATAAAATTAACTTACAAGCAGTTAGAAAGACTGAAACATATGATTTTTTTCTTAGGCCTCTTAGCTCTATGTACATAAACCAAAAAACTAAACCCAAAACAGAGTATTTCCTTGGAGAATATACCAGGTTCATCTGTTAAGTAAAATACAATTAGTGAACAAATATAACCTCTAAAATGTACACTAAAAACTAGAAATGAGTAGGTGTGTCATCTATAAGGTTAATAACCTTGTGTTATAACCACTTAGGAGTCAAAATGACCTTTTCTCACTGCTTAATTTATATGATATATAAATGTTTTGCTACACCCAAATTGTTGGGTGGCGTCAAGGTAGGGTGGGTAATTAAACAGACTGTTTATATCTTTAAAAAGTCACTGAAGTTCTTAGGAACAACGGAAAAGAAGAGGGAGTCATCTTAGTAACCAAGAGTTTTCCTGCCACCTGTATTGATGAAATGGGGAAAAGAAGATATATAGCAATCTGGGAATTCCCTGCCAATATACTACAATGACTAGGACTTGGCAATTTCACTGCCATGGGCCTTGGTTTGGTCTCAGGTGGGGGAACTAAGATCCTGAAAGTTGTGTGGCATGGACAAAATATGAATTAATAAAAAATTACTTAATTAAAGGAACTGCATTTTGATTATGAATTAATGACAAAGAGAGGTATTGTACCATTGCCAAGATTCCACAGGAGGAAAGACTGGGCAAGAACCAAAAAGAAAAAGCTTAGTCATTAGCAATGACAGTAATGACAAGGCAGTTCTCTTTAGAGAAATCAAATCATTACATTACACTGATAGCTTGCAGTCCTCATATCATGTAGTGAGAGTACTTGAGACTGGCAAAGGTACTTCAATGGTAATAACTGTTCTGGAATCTCACTATGAATATAGCTATTTTAGCTAATAGTCATTCATCCTTGAATGAATATTCAGTCATTCCTGCCATAAAGTCCTCCAATTCTAGTTGCTTAGGAACTTAGGCACAAGGAACAAGAGAAAAAAAAAAAAAAAACAACACAGTGTCAACACAAAGGAATACAGCTAGCAGTAGGATATAAACTCCTTAACTTCTACAATGGGATTTGCTTTTCATTCCTGGTACTATCCCCAGAATAGCCTGGCTCCTAAATAATACTATGCACAGGCAGGCCAATGAAACATTAAAAAAGTAGTTTAGAACTTGTTTTGGGGACAGGCTTTTTAGAATCTGAAATAACATATGCATTGTCTCTCCAGAAAAAAATGAATACACGTAAAGAATTCCAGGGGCTCATATATCTCCCAAGATTTCCCAAGAGATCCATGTGTAATAGATGAAGAATCACTAAATCTAAGAATTTGGAAACTTTTATTTGTACAATAAGTTTCTCTTTTTAAATGTATGGGAAGACATTACCAGAAAAATAATTTTCAATTTTTATCATCTAATTGAAGACATCCTTATGGACTATAAGAATAGGCAAACTGTTTTACTTTGTATGAGAAAACATTAGGATGCAAATGAGAAATAATCGTTTGAATATAAGGGAAAATAGGTAGAGAAAAGCCAATGGTGATTGATTTCAAGTGTCACTACATCTAGGAAACCGTGTCCTATTACTTCTCATGAAAGTCAACATGTCATTAGTGGAAGTAAAGGAATACAGGCAAAATCAGTATCAAAAATCTTAATGTATTCATTTTAAATCATCTCCTCACTACATCTCCTATTCAAGCTGCCAAAGCAGTACATTATAATAAAATACTGACCAGGAAATAAACTTAGATCCTTGCCATAGCTCTGCAAGTAAATTAGATGTGTACCTTTAGGGAAACTGTTTAATGCTCTGAGCTTCAGCTTTACCAACTTTAAAATAAGGGAATTAAACCTCTGTCTCTTTCAGCCATAAACTTCTATAAATCTATATACCTATAACTCACCATTTTGTTTTGTCCTTTAGTTTTGGAGGCTGAAAATTACTTTTTGACATTAAGAAGAGGGCCCTGGAATAAAAATTTCAGTTAAAGAGCAATAAAAAACACTTTTATTATTACATACAATAATCAGAATCAAGTCTGCAATCAATTTAGTCAAGATTATTACATATGTAGGTACTCACGATAACTGATATAGAATATGGAAATTAATGTTTTATATTTTGGATACCTTATGGAAAATGTCTCCTGGCTCTAGAGAATATATTTAAATTTCCAACAAGCTCTTATTTACAAGGCAAAGCAACTAAACATTTGAGAAGGTTTTTACTACCATACTCTTACATATATAACTAGTATTATATCTTAAGCATAAGTCTATATAATTGTGTATCATTGTGTTAACACACGGAGATGATATACTACTCTAACATTAGGTTGTATGTTTAGCCTCTACAATTATTTTGGGTGAATAGGCAAATTACATCCACTTCTTTGTCTGTTTCCCCTTTTGAATGAAACAGAAATCAACCTGCAAGAGGACTTTCCTTCTCCACAAATTAACCTTTGACCAATCTTTTTAATGGACTATGGGGGTAGAAGAATGAAGGATTTTAAAAGGAAGTTTTATTTCAATATTTCCTACAAAACTCCAATGTTTTCTAGCAAACTCCTTAGTCTTTTTTATTAAATACCAAAGATCTTTTCTTTCTAAAAATTAAATGATTCATATATAAAAGAAAATTGAAAAGAAAAAAGTCTATATTCCTCTCACCCTAAGACATTATTTAAAATTTTCTGCTCTTCTTTTCAGTCTTTATCTTAATAGAAACCAATTACTAAATTATTATAATAGGTAACACTATGTTCTGCTTTTTTCCCTGATAATCAATTTCCCATGCTGCTTTGGTTTACATATATGGTATTAACTGCCCTTATGACTGCACATTTAGATATTCCCCCTGCAAGCCTGAAGCAGATTCTTAGACTTTCCCTGAATTATTTCCGAAGTATAATTTTCACAAGTGTAGAATCAATGCAACATTTGTACTGTTCATAACAAATAACATCCAAATTATTTTCCTAAAGGTCTATACTTGTCAGCATTCCAGCTAAAAGCAGGTAACTTTTAACTTATATATCTTTTTTTTGGTGTTGTTATTATTATAATTTTTTTAATTGGAGGCTAATTACTTTACAATATTGTGGTGGTTTTTGCCATACATTCACATGAATCAGCCATGGGTGTACATGTGTCCCATCCTGAACTAACATATTTCTTAGGTACTTGTGAGGTTAGTTTTCCATGTTTCTTTAGTATCTGATACTTGCTCATAAACAATTTATCTTTTGCTCTTAGAGTCTTTGAATGAGTTACCTATGTAATAAATATCAATAATTAATATTATATGTTGGGAGAATACTTTCCCCTATTCTGCTGATTTTTCTTTTTAACTTTATACTATTTACATTAAAAATTTAGATTTTGGCCCAATTTATCTTTTCCTTCAAAATATTAAAAACCCCTTCACAGTCTCTCAAATATTTTTTCTAAGATAATATACTCTAAAATATAAATGATTATATTAAGCATCTACCTCTTCATCATTCCGAGAGAAGGTAAAAAGAAACAAAATCAAATGAGAACAGAAATAAAAAACTCATCTGCATTCTATCATTTGTTTATAGTTCTACTTAGGACAAAAAAAGAAATGTTTTTAATCGATGGAAGAATAAAAAAGACTTAAAACTTTTAAAATGATAACTGCTATATCTGAGTATGTTTATTTATTTTTTTTAAATGGACAAGTTATTTAATTAGGTTCTTTGCAAGAAGTTCAGAATACTACTTTGTGAGGGTAAATTCCATTTGTGAGAGCAAACACAGAGCGGAGTTAGCCCTGGAGCTGAGGGACAGCTTTGATTCTTCGCAGAATTTGTGAGTCCACAGCTTTCTGATCAACCTTGCGCTGTTCTGTGATTTCGTATTTCTCTCTCTGTGTGTCGAAGATCTCACCCTCCTGGTGTCTCGGCTTATGCAGCTTCTTCTTCTTGAAGTAAGTGTCAGTGAGATGTTCCGGGATTTTCACACCACTGATATCGATTTTGATGGAGGTGGCAATGACAAATTTATGGTGTGTTCTACGCAGAGGAACTTGATTGAGGGATAGAGGCCCAGTCACAAGTAGCAAGCCACTGCCCAGCTGCTTCAGGAAAACGACTCTCTTGCCTCTGTGGCACCCCGTGAGGATGATCAAAATGGTCCCAGGAGTGATGCTGGTGCGCAGCTTCCTCATGTGCTTACTGAACGGTTTCTTGCCGTGACTCAACAGTTTCCGAGGCACATCTTCAGTAGGGCAATACCTAGGCATTTGGCGAAGTTTGACCACTCGGGTACCACCATTCTTGTCACCACCAACTGGTTTAGTGACAGTAGCAAGAACCCGAACCTTCTTTTTCTTTTCGACCTTGAATTTAGCTGCTGAATACTTTCTCTTGTACAAGGCCTTTCTGGAGTATATGGCTGATCGGGAATATCTGCCAATTCCTCTGACCAGGACAGGGTTTCGGCTGCAGTGGGGCTTCTCCTTCTTAACTTTCTTCACCATTTTCACCTTTTTAGCCTTGTTGCCAGCATCAGCCTTCTTGGCTTCAGGTTTTTTCTCCTTAGTATCTGGCTTCTTAGCCTTTTCACCCGCCATTGGAAGATGGGAAAGAGCCCTAGTATGTTTATTAAAGGAAATTTGTTTTAAGGAAAAGTTTCAGACAGATTCTATGTTGTGTTAGAAAGAGCAACAGACCAGGTTTTAGACAAGATTATTCCTAAGTCTCTCAGAATACTTTAATTATTTCAATATACTTTAAAATGAGCTTGGAATAGCCAAGTTGTCAGTACTTCACTCTCCCTGAAGACCTTACTACTAACTGAGTAATTGTAAATACTGAGAACACCTCATGGGATGAAGATCAAACATGGGTGGTTGAAGTTCTCCAAGTTCAATTGCTGTTATTCCTACTGCCCAGATATCACAGAGCTGGTTGTAGCCACCATTCTTTTCTACTGCTGCAACTTCCGGGGCCATCCTAGAAGGAATCAATGAATATAACATTTTTGTTTTTAAAAAATTATATGAAATTTGTTCTTTTGTTATATTCACTAGAATTCTTGGAGGGAAAGAGGCTGAGAGGCATTTACTAGAAAAGAAGAAACTTTATTATTAACAGAAAAAACTTAATAAAGACCACATATACACACATACACACACTTCTAAAATTTTGGTTCTCAAAATCTTGTGAATCCTGTTTTATAACATGGGAAAACAAAAAGACCACCTAAATCTCTGTGAAGGTCAGAGAAAAGTTCCTCAAAGGAGGTGAGACTCACAGAATAAATTAGCAGGAAGTTGAGGGGGCTTGAGGAACCTGGACTATTTTAGTCAGAGGAAACAAGTACGAATGCAGGGAAACAGGACAACATGGAACACACAGAGGTGACAGGACAGTGCTACTCAATGTATGATCTATAGTAGACACAGGGTCATAGGCAGTTTGCTATCAGTCTCTGGTAAGTACAGAAACTGAAAGTAAGTATTCTTATCCAGATAAATGGTCATTTTTTTTTAGCAATTTATTTTAAATTTATTTGATAAAAGTATCTGTCTGTGGTAGACAAAATATGAAAAAAAAAAAAAAGAAGTCATTCATCCCAGTTTGATAGGGTCTAGAAAGTATTTGGAAAATAAACCTCAAAGAGACAGGCTAGAAAATGAACGGTCTACTGATTATACGAGAAAGATTAGACTTTACTGTGAAAATGGAAAATGTAATTATGATATAAAACTCATGGCAACATGAAGGATGGTGTGAGAGGAGATGAAACCAGAATCAGGCAGATGAATTAGGAGACTATCTGAAAAATACAAGGGGGAAAAAAAGGACTTTTCAAAGGCAGTGGCAGGGAGGATAGAATCAAGGGGCTGATTGAAGAGACTGAGAATAAAATATCTGTGGATACTGAAGTAGTGCTATTACCAAACAACTGTTGAAAATACACTGGACTGAGGGTCATCTGAGTAGCTGAGCTGGAGTTATCTGTTTGGGAGTTGCTGTGTGTACTTAATCACTCAGTGTGTACAACTCTTTGTGACCTCATGGACAGTAGCACTCCGGGTTCCTCCGTCCATGGGGTTTCTCCAGGCAAGAATACTGGAGTGGGTTGCCATAACCACCTCCAAGGGATCTTCACAACCCAAGGATTGAACCCAGTCTCCTGCATTGCAGGCAGATTCTTTACCATCTGAGCCACCACTCAGTGGTATATGAAAATGGCATCTAAAGTTATAAAGCATAGATGATATCACTTAGGATTTTTGAGTGTTTATTATTTTTAAATTAATTTATATTTATACTGAATATTCACAAGGTAGAAGTCACTTTTATGTGCACTTAGGTTACAGAAACTTTATATGACACAGTGTCTCTCAACTTAAGTGTGTTTAAGGATATAATGAAAGCAGTGTTTTAGAAGATTATTTTGTCAGTAATTGGTAGGATGTAGTAGAAGCAGGAGGGCTGGTAAAAACTAAGGATAGGATGCATGAATTTTAACGACAAGCAAATGAAATCCTAGATTGTGATGCAATATCAAAAGAAAGGGTAATAAAATGACACGAGATTATAACACAATTTTCTTTTGAAAATTTCACACCTATGAGACCTACCAACAAAGCATCCCAGGGACAGGAGGAATTACTGGCACTTTAATACAGGAAAAGCTGGACAAGGAAAATGAGTATCAAAGTTCTGTAACCCATCAGATCTATGATAGTGTCAAGGAACCTGAATGTCTCCAGGCTTCAGTCAAGTACAAACTGTATTACTAAGCATCAATGTTGTTCACTAATCTTAAAGAGATGAAAAGGACAAAATTCAATCATAATAATATCTTACCAATAAGGGGTGCCAATGAAAGATTTTCTCTTTGCAATAGTAGCTGTTATTTTTGCAGCTACACCAAAGTCAGCTGATGGGGTAAAAACAGAACAGAAAATTTTAGTTTTCAATAAAACCACCACCATTTCTAAATTTCATCCTCAGAGACATCATTATTAATAATTCAGATAGCAATACTTAGAGAAATTTATATAAATTGAATATAAATATAAATTATACCTAAACCCTTCCTATTTAGTTCAAAACATAATCATTATAAGAAAATAACTTACTGGCACTTTATTAAGAACAAAGTTACTAAAAGAGTTTTCATTACAAGTAACTTAAATTGGGAAAAAACCATCCACCTGGGTTCCTTTTACTCTAACACAACCAGGTTAGTATTTCAGTGCTATTTTTAAAAGTCCCTTTATCTGTAGATAAACTTCTCTTATTGTTGTTAAATATGGTTGTAAAAAACTAAAGACTCATATAGTTTATTTTTGTCATTTAACACACTAGGCAATTTAACTCTTTTTTTTAAACTATTAATTTTAATGACTGAATAATGTTCCATAAGCTGATTTATCACAGCTGAACAGTTTTTCTACTGCTAGACCTATGTTTCCATTTGTTCCTATTATAAGTAGTTATGATTAAAACTTTAGCAAATAACCGATTTTTTATCTTTAGGATTAATTTCCTTAAACTGAATCTCAGGATTAGTAAAATTACTGGGTTAAAAGGTGAACATTAAAAAAATAAATAAATAAAGGTGAACATTATTGTGGCTCTTAATACATATGAATATTAAATTTATACAATGTTAATTCTCATTTAAATTTTTATTAAAATTTTTCTGGAAAATAATTTTTAGAAATTTGAAATAACATACCTAATTTTACATCACCATGATCCGTCAATAAAATATTTGCACCCTAAAGCAAAAATATAAATGTTATTAAATTAGTATCATAAAATTCCTTTCAATAAGATTATCAATTTAAAATTTATTATTCTTTTCTATTGAAGTAGTTGATTTACAATGTTGTACCAATCTCTGCCATACAGCAAAGTGACTGAATAATACACATACAGACACTTTAAAGGAATATTCTTTTCCATTATGGTTTATCAAGAATTCACTGTACTGTATGGACCTATTGTTTATCCACTGTATATATAAGAGTTTATACCTGCTAATCCCAAACTTCCAGTCCTTCCTCCCCCCATCCACCTTTCCCTTGAAAACCACAAATCTGTTCCCTGTGCCTGTGAGTCTTAAACATATTGATTTTAAATTAAGTTTAAATAGACTTACTTTGATATCTCTATGCATTTTGCCTTTAGTATGCAAATAGGCAAGACCCTGAAGTTTAAAAAAAAAGTACATATTAGCAAAACTGCAAACGTCACACCTAAATTTCTACTTAAATTCTTACTGAAAAAGAAAAACCAGAATGTTCTTTTTTTGAGGGGAAAAACCTAGATGTGCTTCTTTTAACTAATCAATGTTTACTAAATTTAAAGATTTTTGAATTCATTTTCTGACAAAAACAAGAAATACTTTACTGTAACATCATCACCACAGTCAAGGTAATGAACATATTCATCACTCCTAAAAGTTCCTCCCATATATAAACACTGATATACTTTGTCACTATAGATAATTTAAAAATTTTCTAGAGTTTTATGTAAATGCAATCATACAGAATATTCTTTTATCTTCTTTAATTCACAATATTAATTTGACATTCCTTGTTAGTGTGTTATCAATATTTCATTTTTTTACTACTGAGCATTCCATCATACAGTCATTACAGAATTTATTTATTCACCTGTTGATAGATATTTGGGTTGTGAGTTGTTTCCAGCTTTTGCTTATTATATAGAAACCCACTCTAAAGATTTATGTCAAGTATTTGTATGATTTTTCCCTCTTGGGTAAATAACTTAGATATGACTGGGTCATATGGTGGTACAAGTTTAAATTTCTAGGCAACTGCCAAATGGTTTTCCAAAGCAGCTGCACAATTTTGCATTGAAACTAGCAGTGTATGAGAGTTCCAATTAACTCACATACTCACCAACTTTATGAGGGTCAGTCCTTTTAATTTTAGCCATTCTAACTGGTGTGTAGTGGTATCTCACTGTGGTTTTAATTCACATTTTTCTAATAACTAATGATATCAAGCATATTTTTCATATCCTTATTTGCCATCTATACAGCTTTTGGTGAAACATCTGTTCAAATCTTTTGTCCATTTGTTTAATTGGTGCTTTTCCTATTATTGATTTAGTTTTGAGAGTTCTTTATATACCCTTGAGACAAGCCCTGTATCAGATTTATACTTTGCAAATACCTTTTTTGGGCCTGTAGTTTGTCTTTTTATTCTCTTAATAGTATGTCTTGAAAAGCAGAAGTTTTAAATTTTAAGCAAGTCAAATTTGTCAAATTTTTCTTTTATGGACCATGTTTTTCATGTCTGAAAAGGCTTTTATTAACTCAAGATCGCAAAATTTTCTTCTATGTTTTCTTCTATAAGTTCTAGTTTGAGACCTAAGTGATTAGTGTTAATTTTTACATATGTCACAAAATGTGGTTCAAAGTTCATGTGTTTGACTTGGGTTCAATTCCTGGATTGGGAAGATCCCCTGGAGGAAGAGGGCATGGCAACCCACTTCAGTATTCTTGCCTGCAGAATCCCCATGGACAGAAGAGCCTGGTAGGCTACAGTCTGTAGGGTCACAAAGAGTCAGACATGATCGAGCAACTAAGCACAGTTCAATTATTTCATAACCATTTAGTGAAAAACCTATCCCTTCTCTTCTGAATTCTCTTCATCTTTGTCGGAGAAGGCAATGGCAACCCACTCCAGTACTCCTGCCTGGAAAATCCCATGGCTGGAAGTACCTGGTGGGCTGCAGTCCATGGGGTCGCGAAGAGTCGGACACAACTGAGCGACTTCACTTTCACTTTCCTACATTGGGAGAAGGAAATGGCAACCCACTCCAGTGTTCTTGCCTGGAGAATCCAGGGACGGGGGAGCCTGGTGGGCTGCCGTCTGTGGGATCGCACAGAGTCGGACATGACTGAATTCACTTAGCAGCAGCAGCAGCTTCACGTTTGTCAAAAATCAGTAGCCATATATGTGTGGAATTATTTCTAGTCTTTCTAGATTTCTATAATCTTTTGGCATCATCTACTCTTATGCCAGTGCTTACTACTGTGTTTCACTTAGTATAGTTTTATAGGTCTTGAAATTGCTACTGTTGGTCCTCAAATTTTTCTGTTCTTTTTCACAGTTGTTTCAACTATTCCAGGTCCTTTGTGTTTCTGTAGAAATTTTAGAATCAGCTCATCAATTTCTAGAGGGGAAAAAAAAACCTTTGCTTTTGACTGCAATTGCATTGAATCTATAGTCAGTTTGGGAAGAAATGGTATCTTAATTGCACAGAAATGTTCTGACCCATGAATACAAGAATACTACAAAAGGCAAAGTTCTCAGTTTACGTAGGTCTTCTTTAACTTCTCTAAGTCGTTTTATAGTTTTTAGTATACAGGTGTTTATGCCTCTCTGTTACATATATCCCAACGAATGTCATATTTTAGTTATTATAAATTGTAATGTTGCTAGTCTATGGAAATCCAACTGATTCTGTATATTGATCTTGAGTCTTGCAATCTCCCTAATCACACTCATTAGTTCTACTAGCTACTTTGTAGACTCTATTCCATTTTCTCCAAAGATGTAGTTATGCAGTCTATAAAGAGAGACAGCTTGAATTCTTACTTTCTAGTCCAGGTGCCTTTTATTTCACTGCTTTTGCTTTTTGTCCTGGCCAAACATCTAGAAACTGTCAAAAAGAAGTGGTAAGAGCAGACATCTTTACCTTGTTTTGACTGACCTTGGTGGGAAAAGCATCTAGTCTTTACCATTAAGTATGATTTAGTTGTAGGTTTTTCACAGATGCTCTTTATCAGGCTGAGTTAGTTTCTTTCTATTTGAAATATGCTAAGAATTTTTATCAGAAATGAGCACTGGATTTAGCTAATGCCTTTTCTGTGTCTACTTAGATGATCCCATGGTTTTGCTTCTCTTTTTGTTTGCTAATGCAATCATTTACTTGAAATGATTTTGAATGTTAAATCAACACTGCCTTCTATGATAAAACCCCACTTGTCTATGATGTATTATCTTTTTATATATTGTTGAATTACCTAAATCATGCCTCTTTACCCAGTCACCTGTCAACAGACACTAGATGAGGAATTTTGTCAGCGTAACACAATTAAAATTCAAACTAGTATCTTGGAGGTCATCCCTTCCACAGCCTCATTTTATACTTGGGGAACTAAAACCACAGATGAGATAATGGTCATATACCAGGGCCAGAATGCAAATGCAAATTTTTGTTTCGCTTTCTACTTTCATTTAGTACTCTGTCCGTTACTTAAAGAAGCAAGGAACTTTGGAAATTAAAATATTAACAACACTAATCTGTCAACAATTCTGTGCTATGAGTGCATGATTAGCGTTTTATGTGAATACAAAAAAGCAGATTTTTAATGTGACTGTTATAGAAATATATGTAAATTATGTATATATATAAATTTACTTTCATATATCGAACAATAAAATTTTAAAGCATGTGGAAACCAACTCTTTCAGAAATGACTAGAGCTTTCCCTTAATTTAGGTTAAATTCCCAAATTCTAAAATATGGAAGAGTAACATATAGAATATCAATTTCTCTTCTAAACAAACTACACAATCTAGGAAATGTAGAGACAGAAGCATCAATTAAGTATCAGTTGTGAACTGAAAAAATAAATAACACAACCACTACTTCTTCATCCTGCTTCCTAAATTAGATGCCTTAAAGCATGTGAACAAAATTAGCTGCTAATTTTTTCAATGAGTAATCTTTCAAGGAACTAAAAAAATAAACTGGAAGAAAAATTGTATACACTGTATACCTACTGAAAACTCATAACCTATTTTAACATACTAAAAGCTCTCACAGGGTCTGAAATAAAGAAGGAAAGAAATCTCTACTTAATACAATGTTTACTGAGCTTATAAAAAGGGATTCTGATATTAATAGTATCTATTAATAATATAATTAATAGTATCTATATTAACATCTATATTAGTATATAGTATCTATATTAATAGTACCTACTAATAGTATAATTAATAGTATGTATTAATATAACATAGATCAAAGGTTTCCAGATAACATTCTGGGTTATTGCTATGAAACTTCATTCTCATTTTGGGAGAAACAGTAAAAGACCTCATGTATTATGCAAAAAGATTCCTTTTGCGGCCATAAAACTTGAAGGAAAACTTGGACTTGTTATAATTGAGAGGTCTGATGATTCATTCATAAAAACCAATTCATACCTATGACTTTCCTCAGCTTTGCAGCAACTGAGGGACAAGCACTACAACGAAGAACACCAAACAACACCCCGGTGTGTACTACTATTAGCTTAAATGAATTTCTGGGACTCATTTGCAAAAGAAATAACTAGGCTTACAGAATTACAGTATGAGAAGTTAACAGAAAAATTTGTTTACTCTTTCTCTTTTGGGCAGATCACCATTTTACTGTTTTCAACTGTGAAACTAGAACTGCATTTCTATCTACATAAGCAAATACAGTACCTGTAAAGTTTCTCTGCATACATAGGCTATTTGCAGTTCTGATAATGGTCCAGTAACTAGAAATAAAAAAGAGATCACATCATTATACACTTGAACACAACAGACTAAAAACACTTTAACAATGACAAGCAATTATAAAACTTCTCTTTCTCTCTCTCTCTCTCTCTCTGGGTGATTTATCATGAGCATATATTATTCTTAGAATCAGGAAACAAAAAAACAGTAAAGTAGAAAATTTTTCAATGCAATTTAAAAATGGAAGGGTTGCTTCATAACGACTTTGGTCAGTGAAACTATTACGCCCCCATTATGAGCAAAGCACAGTACCAGATATCACAAGATGTTCTATGCAAAGCAATGGACATGATCTCAATTCTGAACAACTAAAGATAAATAAATAAATAAAGCCCCAAATGAGAAAAACATATATAATTACAGTTATATACACATGTCAAGGGCTTCCCTGGTGGCTCAGGCAGTAAAGAATGTACCTGCCGTGCAGGAGACCTGGGTTCAGTCCCTGGGGTGGGAAGATCCCCTGGAGAAGGGAATGGCAACCCACTCTAGTATTCTTGCCTAGAGAGTTCCAGGGATACAGGAGCCTGGCAGGTTACAGTTCATGGGGTTGCAAAGAGTCTGACACAACTGAACAACTAACACTTTCACACTTTCATACATGTTAAAGGACCATAAAGAGAAATTGATTGTTGAAAAGGCATCATATACTTTAAAAAAAAAAAAAGTCACAATGTTATTCCCTTAGCATTATTCTTTACTATATCCATCAAAACAAGGACCTTGATCCAATACCTTACCTAAGAATCCAAAAAGTAATCAGGTCACTTGTGACAACCAGATCTTTCCCTATGAAATATAAAATCCTTCTGCAAGTACCTAACTAGGTGCTTTGGAAATAAGGCCTTCCAATACCATGAGAAAATATTTGAAGTCTGGGGTGGCATTTGCTGACAGTGAGGTCAAAATCAGATACTTTCATGCAATCTTTACTTAAGATATTTTACAATATATTTTAATCACTGGTTCTCTATACCTACTTTTAGGAACATAAAATTTTTATTCTTAGTAACTTGATGAAATAGTAGTAAAAGAAGGGAAACAATTTCATTAAAAGTTATTATAGGTATAGTTGTTCTTTATTACTATGCTATCTAATATATTATTTACAGGGATAAATACTTTTTAGATTCAATTTAATTCAATAAATAGCAGGTTTAATAATGGAAAGCAGAAATTTCACAAAGAAATAAAGTAAATGTCTCAAAACCATTATTTCAGCTTAAAAGGAGAAGTAGTAAAAAAAAAAAAAATGTCTGCTGCATAGTTTTATTAATCCATAATCCTGAGTTCTCATTCTGTGAAAATGTGGATAAAAATTATAACCATTAGATAAAAAGTCTTCATATAAAAGATCATAATTCTTCATAAAATCACAGAAAGGAATTTTAAACTGAGTGACACAGAGCCATTTCCTACCAATAATTTTTTTAAAAATCAACAACAGTGGCAAAATAAAAGAGAACAGTCATTATGGTATAATAATGTAAAGGAAAATTCAATTCAATTCAGAAAGTTGACTAAATTAACATAATGAAATGGCAACCCACTCCAGTATTCTTGTCTGGGAAATCCCAATGATAGAAGAGACTGGAGGGCTATAGTCTACAGGGTCACAAAAGAGTCAGACACGACTTGCAACTAAACAACAAATAAAATATTCCAAATTCTTAAAATTACATATTTTAATACAAAATATTATAGCAATAATTAAATTGTTTTCCCAGGTAGCACATTATCATTAAGACGTAGACAGATAATTTGCTTTATGTGAGAGTCACCTTTTGCATTTCAATTCTAATTTACAAGGAAGTTTAGGCAGTTTTGTTTTGTAGTTAAATTCTTCCCTATATACTACTTAAGATTTCCTAGAGACTACATCTGAAAAGTAAAACCTAGATTCTTCAAGTACTCTTGGATTTCTTCATCAGGCTCCAGCAATTTAACTGAATACCAACAAAATATAAAATTTAGATTTCTTTTATGCAATATTCCAGAGCACGACAGAATGTAAAACAGTTAAATCTATGTGTTAGTATCCGTTGTTAACTAGAAACATAAAATAACAATCATTAAAGTAAACGTTTTAAAACACAGAGAGAAATTAACAGTACCATGGTAAATATCTTGAAGTGATCCGCCACCACAGTATTCCATACAAATCCACAGTTTTTCCCGACTAATATGAAAGAGAAAGAAAATTATATTAGCTAGTAATTCTCAACCATTGACATACTTTGAAGATTGCCACTCTTCAGCATAGGCAAGGTTTAGGACAGATTACAACAGGAGATTGTCCTGACAGTTTTTCTTCTGGATACAGAAAAGCATATTAATTTTAGCTCTGTTCCCACCTTAAATAGTTTAGAATGTGATTGCTATTACAAGCTAAAACACTTACTTGTAATCATTCATAGTATTTCATTAAGGTTGCCAGATAAGGCAAAAATGCATAAATGAAGCTGTCATTATTAATATAACAGAGGAGCCAATAAGATCTGAGAAATTTTAGAACTTTAGCCAAGTAATTTTTAAAATTTAAATACAAAAAAGCATTTACATGAAAGGGAGGGGATGTGGGGCAAAGAAGTATGAAGTACAAGGAGAGAGATTAGATGCTTTGTGTTTTTCACCTGAGATAGCTCCCAAAGTAGGCAACAATGTTGCAGTGTTTACATTCTTTAACCATAAATATCTCTTGCTGAATCAAAGAAAAATCATCTCCTGAAAAACAAAATGATGATAACTTGGTCAACATGTTACATTTGGTGTCTCTATGTATAGGAAGAAGGAAGGAAACCTTCACAACAAGTATCAAAGATGAGGAATTAGACATTCTTAATACTTTAAAGAGAATGTACACTTGCAGTTTCTTTCTACAAAGTCAGAAGCCATAAAAGTGCATGAAATCCTGAAACTCATAATTTCACTTCAATATTTACTTTCTTGAGATATGCACAGACAATATTCTCTACAGTACTATTTATTGATGAAAGAATGGTCAACAACTTATGGTACAGTCATAGATATTACAACACAGTTATAACATGTTTTGCTATGAAAACATGCTCATGACACATTAAGTGAAAAAGGGATATTATGTAAGTACATAAGCAGAAAAAAAGTCTCAAGAAATATACATAATGTTTAAGTCTGGGTAGTAAAAATTTTAAGTAATTTGGTTCTCTTCTTTTTTTATTTATATTTTCCAATTTATCTACCAAAAATCTATTTGGGTTAACTAGAAAAAGCTATATTAAAATAAAATATTTATTATATATGGGAATTTTATGGTCATTATGGGCTACTTAGAATGACACTGTCACTATCAAACTTCATTTTATATAGAAACAGTGTTTTATTTCAGTAAAAGGAGTTTAGGAGTTGATAAATGAGTGCATTTGTATTATGTAAATGCAATATAATGTACAAGATCTCGAGGTCTGGATTAACACACCTGGATTTAAGTCTGGACTCAGCCATTCACTGGCAATGTAACCCTGGCAATCTAACTCTTTTGAATCACATCTGAATCCATTACATACTATCTAAATTCATTCCTTATCTACCACTTTGGCTTCCTTATCTACCACTTCCCTGAACATTCCCTACATTTTAGTAATACCAGTTGCTGGCCATCTTTCTAACAGATTCTTATGTCCTCAAGTTTCTGTTACTGCAAGTCTCTCAGGTGGGAAAGTTGTGAGGAAGAGGATGGAGTGCATTTAGTACAATATCTGACACTGAATAAATGCAATAGCAGTATTATATATTGGAGGCAAGAAAGATACAAATGTGTTCTTCATTAGGATATCACCATAAGATATTTTTATCAGATAGTGTTTTGCAATGCTCTTTTGCAAAACAACATCAGGTTTAAAACCTGAGCCTTCTGTATTGTAGGTGTATTCTTCTACCACTGTGCCACCATGAAAGGCCTAGCTCTAACTTAGTCATCTTAGAATAACACACAAGGACCAAGAAGGAAAAACTTAGAAATTAGGTCTTAGATAAATAAATAAAATTCTCACACAAATCAGAGATATTTTCCCCTTTATACAGCAACTTTCAATTGAAAGCCAAAACAAAATAATATTTTTGTCATGTCATAAAATACTTAAAAAAAAAAATCAAACATTACTGATGTGGTTTATACACACATTTAAGTATGACACACCAAATTTACTCACAATCATAAAAGCACTCTTTTCAACAGTCCCTTCATGTAAACATTAATTGATATTTCAGTTAACTAATTTAATGTTAACAATTTTAAAGAACTAGATAAATCAAATAAGGACACAGTCTTGAAACAATCAAAATCTGAGTAAAAATCTTTACAGAAAATTTAGCTTTTACTTGTAAAAGTGAGAAAACATGCACGACATGAATGGTTACATATACCCTAAATATAACAGTCTGCAAACAGAAGGGGATCAGTGAAGATAATCCAAAATAGACAATAATCTCACGTTCCCCATTATCAACAGAGGCAGCAACAGGGAGCAATTCTTGAAGATTATAGTAAAAACCTGCCCACCCAGATGTGGAGGCTTTGCTTGTCCACTTATGGATACAAAGAACTGTCTCTCCTTCTTCCTCCCTCTGAGCTCTCTGATTAGAGTAGTTCTCACCCCTCTGCCTGAAACTTTTCCATTATATACTAAATTTTATTATTTATACAGGCTAATTTCAACAAGCAGGCTAGATTCCAGGCCATCCTTCATTTTATCAAGAAGCCCTGAATTACAAGGAAAAGAAAGTAAAGAATCACCTTTGTTACTATATGCTTTGGCTATCTAACTATTCACTTCCATGTGTTTATTTTAAAATTATTTATTTTGAATTGGAGGATAATTGCTTTACAATCTTGTTTTGGTTTCTACCATACATCAACATAAATCAGCCACAGGTATATGTATGTCCCCTTCCTATTTAACCTCCTACCCACCTCCCTCCCCATCCCACCTCTCTGTGTTTCTGATTGTTTTTGGCGGTGAAATCTGGCTTCTGGGATCTTAGTTCCCTGACCAGGTATAGAATCAGTGTGATGTGCAATGAAGTCACAGAGTTCTAATCACTGGACCACCAGGGAATTCCCTATCCACTAACTTTACCTTTTTTTTAATTGGAGTATAGTTGACACCTACCCACTTTTAAGTGATCACCAAAGTCTCATCCATGGGTCATCAAAAAAGCAAGAGAATTCCAGAAAACCATCTACTTCTGCTTTATTGACTATGCCAAAGCCTTTGACTGTGTGGATCACCACAAACTGCGGAAAAATCTTAAAGAGATGGGAATACCAGACCACCTGACCTGTCTCTTGAGAAATCTGTATGCAGGTCAGGAAGCAACAGTTAGAACCTGACATGGAACAACACAGACTGGTTCCAAATCGGGAAAGGAGTACGTCAAGGCTGTATATTGTCACCTTGATTGTTTAACTTCTATGCAGAGTACATCATGCGAAATGCCGGGCTGGATGAAGCACAAGCTGGAATCAAGATTGCTGGGCGAAATATCAATAATCTCAGATATGCAGATGACACCACCCTTATGCCTGAAAGCGAAGAAGAACTAAAGAGCCTCTTGATGAAAGTGAAAGAAGAGAGTTGAAAAAGTTGACTTAAAACTCAACATTCAGAAAACTAAGATCATGGCATCTGGTCCCATCACTTCATGGCAAATAGACGGGGGAACAATGGAAACAGTGAGAGACTTTATTATCGTGGGCTCCAAAATAACTGTAGATGGTGATTGCAGCAATGAAATTAAAAGACGTATAGTCCTTGGAAGAAAAGCTATGATCAACCTAGACAGCATAATAAAAAGCAAAGACAATGTTTTGCCAACAAAGGTCCGTCTAGTCAAAGCTATGGTTTTTCCAGTAGTCATGCATGGATGTGAAAGTTGGACTATAAATAAAGCTGAGCACCGAAGAATTGATGCTTTCAAACTGTGGTGTTGGAGAAGACTCTTGGGAGTCCCTTGGACTGCAAGGAGATCCAACCAGTCCATCCTAAAGGAAATTAGTCTTGAATATTTATTGGAAGGACTGATGTTGAAGCTGAAACTCCAATACTTTGGCCACCTGATGCAAAGAACTGACTCACTGGAAAAGACCCTGATGCTGGGAAAGATTGAAGGCAGGAAGAGAAGGGGACGACAGAGGATGAGATGGTTGGATGGCATCACTGACACAATGGACATGAATTTGAGTAGGCTCCAAGAGTTGGTGATGGACAGGGAATGCTGGCGTGCTGCACTCCTTGGGGTTGCAAAGAGTCGGACACGACTGAGAGACTGAGCTGAATAACAAGTATCTTCATTCCAATTTTATCTGGTGTTCAGAAACTGGAATCTAAGTGAAACAGAGTACTCTAGCATTCCATGTGATTTTTACCTATTAAATGGCAGAAAATGTCTACTTAGCTAAAACTAATAGAGAAAAATTTTGGTGTGACCTCAAAATTAACATCTTCCATCAATTCAGATTTGAACTTTTTAAACAGTGAACATAGGGTACAAATATTTAAATTTACAGATTATTTTTAAAAATAAAAAATGTTAGATTTTAAAAATAGAAATAAATATTGAAAAGCAGGAACATACCACTTAATCGGAATAGTTGCCACTTGTCCTATTTGGCCAAACCTCCTACTTTGGGATTTCTTTCAAGAACATTAACAAGGCAAACTAATGGTTGTTTAAATCTTTATAAAATTTCTGACTTTTAAAAAATTTACTGTACTTTTTCCATTTATATTTCCAGGAAACAAGATATCAAAAAAAGTTTTAAACATCTATTTAAAGATATTTAAAGATTCCAACATATCTGAAAACTGTCTAATCTAGTAAAATACATCTAATTCACTATTTTATTTACAAATATTGGATTATTTCATAAATATTTCCAATTTAGCATTTTAAAAAACAAGTAAACACTGCAGCTCAATTCCAGAAAAATAAATGACCCAATCAGAAAATGGGCCAAAGAACTAAACAGACATTTCTCCAAAGAAGACATACAGATGGCCAACAAACACATGAAAAGATGCTCAACATCACTCATTATCAGAGAAATGCAAATCAAAACCTCAATGAGGTACCATTACATGCCAGTCAGGATGACTCCTATCCAAAAGTGTACAAACAATAAATGCTGGAGAGGGTGTGGAGAAAAGGGAACTCTCTTACACTGTTGGTGGGAATGCAAACTAGTACAGCCACTATGGAGAACAGTGTGGAGATTCCTTAAAAAACTGGAATTAGAACTGCCATATGACCCAGCAATCCTACTCCTGGGCATACACACTGAGGAAACCAGATCTGAAAGAGACATGTGTACCCCAATGTTCATCACAGCACTGTTTGTAATAGCCAGGACATGGAAGCAACCTAGACGCCCATCAGCAGATGAATGGATAAGGAAGCTGTGGTATATATACACTATGGAATATTACTCAGCCATTAAAAAGAATTCATTTGAATCAGTTCTAATGAGATGGATGAAACTGGAGCCCATTATACAGAGCGAAGTAAGCCAGAAAGATAAAGACCAATACAGTATACTATGCATATATATGGAATTTTAAAAGATGGTAATGATAACCCTATATGCAAAACAGAAAAAGAGACACAGATGTACAGAACAGGCTTTTAGACTCTGTGGGAGAAGGCGAGGGTGGGGTGTTCAGAGAGAACAGCACTGAAACAAGTAT